TGTATAGACAGGTGTGTGGCTTTCCTAATCACGTCCAATCAGTATAATCAAACACCGCTGGACTCAAATGAAGGTGTAGAACCATCTCAGGGATGATCAGATGAAATGGACAGAGCCTAAGTTAAATATATGAGTGTCACAGCGAAGGGTCTGAATACTTATGACCATGTGATATTTCAGTTTTTCTTTTTTAATAAATCTGCAAAAATGTCAAAAATTCTGTGTTTTTCTGTCAATATGGGGTGCTGTGTGTACATTAATGAGGAAAAAAATGAACTTAAATGATTTTAGCATATGGCTGCAATATAACAAAGAGTGAAAAATTTAAGGGGGTCTCAATACTTTCCGTACCCTCCATATATGCATTTATGATTAGATTGTGTCTCTTTTTTCCTATTTTCTTTCCTATTTCATTGCACATTTTCCTAATGTGAATGCACAATTTTTAATTTGATATTTTTTATTTTCTTGTTGCCTTCTAAAACACATTTTAGAGCCTCTGTACCAGACTCAAATTTCTTGTGTGTTTAAACATACCTGCCCAATAAAGCTAATTCTGATTCTGATGGTAAATGTGCCTGGCAATTGAAAGGTTTCATGAGGACAATGTGCTCTGCAAGGCTGGTCAGAGGACAGAGTTTAAATTGGTCTGCTTCGGTATACAGATTTAATCTATGCCTACAAACAAGCAAAAAGCATTCACATAGGATGCTGAGGCAGCAGTGACTCACTTTCACTTTTCCATTGACAAGCACCCCCAGATCCCCAGGGTAGTCAGCGTTCCTGATGTCTAGGTCATGAGGTGACACATACAGCTTCTTGTTTCTGAGGCAGAAGAACTGCAACTCAGTTAGGCCAACCTGCAAAGCATTCCCCCAGTTGGACAGGATCTCCATGGTCACATACAATGCAGGGGTGACCTCTGCTGAGGACTGGCGTCTCTGCAACGACAACACAAAACATTCACAAGTGCTTCTGTACACTTATGTTGCTGTCACACCCAGCAGTATTAGGATAATTCATTCTAAACTGTGAGATGGTGTTAGACTCACCGGCTGCTTGCTGTAGTCTGCTTTCACAGTCTGAGAAATACTGTAGCTGGGTCCAGCTTCAAGTTTCTCCAAAGCTTTTAGCAGTTTCTGTTGTTGCCTAAACAGAAGGATGACATCCTCAGCTTTGCTGCTTTGTCTGTTGTCCCTGAGGAATGGCTGAGCACTGTGGTAGCTACACTGATAAATAATTCTTGAAGGTCAAAGCGTGAACACAGTTATGGTAGTTCCTGTCATAAGACAGAATGTAATATAGCACCTGTGTTTTTAACTGTCGTATTCTGTCAGCATACCTGGGGCCCATAAGAGTGATTCTCTGCATGGCCAAAGTGACACCGTTTTCATCCTTGTCATGGGCACTGTGGTGCACTAAACCATTCATCAGCTGGTGTCCCGTGCCCTGGATGAAAAGGAAACAAAACACAAACGTCGGAGATAAATAAGCTTAGAGACAAGGTTTACATACAAGATATATCCAACACTATCTTAATATTAAAACCAAGAGCACATAGAGTACATATGTAGAGAAATGGGCAGACACAGTGGAAAAGGAAATCAGGCCATACTAGCATATAGGAGTGTTCTATATGCTGGATCACTATAAAAACTACATTTGAGAAAAATGTTTGTAATATGTAATAGCCCAAGTAGAATAAGTTGAGTAGGAGAAGTGTAGTGTGAAGGAGGAGAACCATGTTGCGGCTGAAGAGCTCTGGACTGTGCACAGTGTTGTTTTCTCTCTGGATGGCTTGCCGCACCCTGCATGCCAACTCCTCTGGGTCTCCCTCCTCAACAGAAACCTTTCTGGCCGCTGACAGGGGCCTCTCCACTCGACTTCTTGGCCCTTAAGCAGGAAACACACACTGTTTTGCAGCAATAGCTATACATCTATCCAAGCTTTATAGTCACATTTTCAAATGGGCTTGTATAAAGAGTTTATTCCAGAATGGGAAATCTTACTTACTCTGACCATCCCGACTCACTTTTGAAGGTGGCCTATCTAATGTCTTACTCTTCACCAACATGGGTTTTGTAGGTATAAAGGTGTCAGCGTTGTCTTTCCTTTTTGCAGACAGGGAGTGTTCAATCTTACAACCTGAAGCAATGAAGAATATGAACAAGAGGAAAGTGTTCAGGATGTTCATGTTAGAAATATATCGTGATCAGTACAGGCAGTTTGAAGGCATAAAAAGATCAGTGTCCTGTGCTGGCTAATGTAACGTGAACTGTGCACAGACAGCTAATGTACTTGCCAATTCTCCTTGTGTACAGGTCAGTGATAATGACACAAATAAGGAGGAGACGGAAATTCTCTGGATAGTTAAGACTCATCCTAAAACTCAATAGCACATTTTGCATATGAAAGTAGATGCTGAAGCCTACTTTGAGGTGAGGGTCCAAAATCCAGGACAATGAGCTTTGCTGAGTCAAAATGGCTACGGGAGCTGCTGGGTTGAGGGTGGGAGGATGACTTTGAGGAAGAGACAGGCAGTCCCAGCTCATCCAGACTCTCAGTGCTCTCGTCCCTCTCGATCTGCTCCTCCACCCACTCTTCGTCTGACTCCTCCCCAGCTGAGCCGCGGTTGCTCCGCCGCATGCTAACCTCCAGGCTCTGACGCAGAACCTGGTTTACAAAAGACCAGCATTCCACTCAGTCATCAGTGACAGCACTCACAGGCACAAACATACACACATGCAAGATGACAGTTTAAGCAATCCCTTGATTTAGTGACTACCACTGAAATACTTTCATAAATTAACACCCAGGAGCATGAAACATGCAGATGATTCACTACATCTCATGCCACCTTGACAAGATGATACAGAACAGTGTAAATATTTCTTTTTCTGCTCACCTTCACTTCCTCAAGGTTGAGAAGCACCTTCTCACTGTACTCCTGATTCACTTGGCCTCCTTGGATCTCAGACCTGGAGCTGAAGGAGCGAGACACCTTGCAGGTGTCCCTTGGGGAGCGGGGACTACAAGGCGAGCGTGGACTGGATGTCTACATTAAACATAGTGATTGTAGAAATAACAGAAAGTTGTACAGACAGATGCAGATGACACATACCCCTCCCCCTAAAATACACCCACACACATAGGCTTAGTAGGCATTGTTATGTCTTCCTTCTACCTCCATGTCTACGCTTTCATAAGGTTCAAAATCCTCAGAGTAGCACTTTTCCGGGGATAGCTGTAAACTTGGTCCTTCCTCTGTTCGAATTCTGATAGAATCCTACAGACATGACAAAAGCAGAAAGATTTCATGTGTACACTTTCATTATAAAATATTTATCTATTATCAAACATAATCAAGGATTGCAAATATTTAGAAATTAAGGGCCTATACCTGCACCCATTCCTTCCTCTGGACCTTCTCTGGGGCAGTGTGGCTCCGCTCCTGATTACAGCTATCTTCACTTAGCTGACGGGCGCTTCTACAGACATCTGGTGATGAGTCACAGCAGAAAAAGGAACATGAGCACTGCCTCAGAGGAGAAGGAACACTCAGTCATACACAGATGGTCCACAGCACATAAAGGAAGAACAAAAACCTAGCCGCCAGTTACAACTGTCACTATCATTTATTCACTGAGACTGGGCATGAGATCATGCCATACAAACTACAAATTGGGGAGTGGTGACTAGTAGCCGTTTTCCATATGGTCTGGGGATGACAGAAGCAGCAACATAGGAGTATAAGGCACCATCTCTGAATGTAGTGTAACCATGACTCAACACTCAAGAACAATATTTTCCCCTGTACAATAGAAGGGTAAAAAATAATGAGGTCTTATATGAGAATTCTGAGTGTTGAGCATGTGTAGATTTATTTTGGTATGGCAACAACATACCTGCTGTATGTGCAGTCCTCCAAGCTCGTGGGCAGGTGACAGACTTGTGGTTGGAGCACTTGGCCTGCTTCCTTCTGGCTTCAGCATTGGCTCCGTTAAGATAAATAGAAAAACCTTGCTCAAGCCGTTCCAATTCAATTTCCCTGGGGTCTTTGACCTTAAGGCGCTTTAGGATTCTGTGGAACAATGGCTACTGATGACTGGCAGTGAAACTCTGGCAAACAATGTATTGTAGGCTTCAGATGGCCAAGATCAACATTCAGGACTCACATTTTAACCTTCTCTGTCCTACATTTGACACACATCTCGAGTGTCAAAGCAAGGAACCAATCAGTGCTCCAATTAAGCAACACTGAAAGTCATGAAGGAGTTGTGTATCTCTGTGAAATCTAATCTGTCTCTCCCCAAAAGACTGTGCTCACACTTCACCTGTTTTTGTGCTGGAGGTTGATTAAATATTCATCCAGAGTGTCATCCGCAGCAGAGGCAAGCTTCTCTCCTTGGCACGTCTTCTTCTCCTTCAAGAACACAAGCATGAGTACACACACACACACACATAAAGTCAGAAAAGCTTAAATCAACTGTTTAAGGAAAAAAAGATTGTTCCATAAGTATTCACGTTCACAAACTACAATCAATATCCACTTTACTCTGTACATGACAAAATCTTTGCAAACAACTTGCACCTTCATGTCTTGTGTAAATAAATACACCAATACAACACATGCAGCATGTCAAGACGATAAGCTTACAGTTCATGGTACTAAAAAACACACACACACACACTCACACATTTGTAATGTGTGAGTGTGTGTGTGCTTTTCTCAGTGCTGAGGTTAAACATGTGACGTAAAAATTGGCTGAATAACACATTTGTCCCACAATGATTTCATGACAATATTATTTAACTCTAAAGGCCTACAGACTTTCAAATATTGACAGGAGGTCGTGGAATACTGACCACAGCAAAATGCACTGCTGAAATATTTGCATTAACTGAGGGAATTACTGACTATTGCAGAACAAGTCCAACTCTTATGAATCCATGCCTTGTCAAATTCAGGCTCTTCTTTAACAGATGGTCCTACCCTGAACTCATTTGGTGCAACAGTGGTTATAGAGTGACTGGAACAAGAGCTATTATATCTTGCAATAAGGCACAAGATGCATAACAAAAAGTCTTTTCAAAGAAAATAGCACTGACATTCTTCAAGGCTAGAATATGAATCGTTACTTAAGATGTTAATGTAACTAGGGTGTGATGAACAACTGACCATTTCTGTTTAAAAACCACACTTATGTTAAGATACTTTATTGAAAAAAAATTATTGTTGGGGACTTGTCAACTACATGTCGCTAACGCAAACTAGTAATTTATCTACCTTTAGCAGTACTTTGTTGGTAGTTCAGCTACATTCATAATAGCATAGTGATTCAAGTAGTTAAATTAAAGGGGGGGGGGGTTGCTATTTTTGTGTAGTTAACTACTGAAACTACAAAAAGCAATGAGAGGGATATTTTATTTTACCATTGTGGAACTGTCTGTTGGCAGGAATACTGAGAGGATGTTTATACTGTCTAAGCAGGTGCAAGATGAAGACTGTTGTCGTTGTTAAGGTAATACAAGTCAGATGTAAGTAAAATAACAGGCTCATTTTTAGTAGAACAGTGTTCAAGTAGTAGTAGGTCAAATGGCCTCTAAAGGTGCAAGTCTGTGTGTGTCTGTGCATATCTGTTTTATTTATAGTTATGTAATCCAGATTTGTTTACAACATTCCTTGCAATCTTGTCCTTGTGAAAAGCCCAGATGGGATTGTTTTATTGAGAAACGGTTAGATCTCAGGCAATAAACTTAACTGAGTGTCATGTTTGCTGGCATGTGACTATTGTATTTTATTATAATTTTGCATAATGTGTGCATTATCAATTCAAACTTTTTTTTTTTAACAACTTTTTCCTAAGTCACTTTAGTTAACCAAACTAGATTTCTCCATAGAGTAGCTTTCCACTGTTAATACTTGTGGCTTGCAAAGCTATATTTCAAAGTAGCTTCCCAAACACTGGAGAAAAAAAAATACATCAACATCAGCAAAATCCCAAAGTGCTGGTTCA